TTCGCTCGACTATGTGAACACGACTTGCCAGCCGAATTGAAAACAACGGTATCGGATTTACCGAAAATTTGGCAGCAGTACGGTTGGAGTTGTTTTGAGGCTAGCTCGCAAGCAGTGTTTGACTTCTGAAGATTTTTTGAGTTCATTTGAAAGTCTTCTGGAGCAGTAGTTGCAGAATTTCAAGAACTTCGAAGCAATTTACCTTGAAGACAATTTACCTGGCGCGGATTTTGGAGTCATCCTGATTCGCGTTTTTAGTGGCTGGGAATTATTTCAACGGCATCTTCGAAGCATAGTGATGGGGATTTCAGCAGCAGTGTGGGATTATTTCGACTACCCTGGAGCATTGGGTTTTCGGGAGTTTTACCCGGGAAATTGGGAACTGTTTCTTCAGGGAGGGGGGAGAAGGGCAGTTGTGCTGCAATTTTTGTCTGACCCTTCGGCGTGTTTCATCATCCTTATTCGAGCATTATTCATCACCGTTACGCTTCCGTGCCTAATTTCGTCACTTCGTTGATGGAGTTTGCTGACTTTCGTGGGACATGGACGCGCGATCTCGCACGTGACACGAACGACCTCGCATTTCATGAATGGGTTCTTCACTACATCGTCCACGGCATTCGACAAGTCATCATTACGGAAGATACCTAACAGCCACTCGTCATCATCAACCGCCCAGTCGACAGTTCCACTGTTCACAATCTTCCGCTGGAGTACTTACCCTTGCCCGTTTGGTCAGCTGAATTATTCGACCATCTTCGACGGCTGAGATTAAAAGCGATTATTTCGACGCTTTCTAGCCCTTGATTTCAGTTCAACCTCAAGACCTCGTCAGGCCGGCGTAATCATTACGCTCGTCACAGGGCTGAAGACTTATGGTCACATCGGGGATAACTTTAATGACTGTTCGACCTCGATAAAGGGAGTGCCTTCCGTTAAAAGGTGGGAGAGTATAAGGAATTACGATTCCTTATTGGGGCTCGCCACAGTGAGCACACGCGAACAGTTCGCGTCCGGAGGCTCGGCCCTTGGTTCTTGCCAGGGCTTATTTTATCAGAGCAAATCACTCTGTTTCTCTGAAAATCAGAGGCATTTTTGAAAACAACTCAGATGGTCCTGGGTAAATTTTTAAAAGTATAGGTTTTCTCAGATTTATCAGAGTTGGCCGATGTACCACCCTGATGGATTTTCAATAGGGGGTATACCCCAGTTTCTTCCTGTTCTCCCTGCATTCGGCTAAGTCCTCTAGCTACCAAACACACCCCTCTCACACCCCCCGCAACCGGGATAATATTGGCCAAGTCCCCCGTAACCTGTCACTCACTCGCACACACCCCTCTCATACGCCACGCAGTCTGTATAATTTTGGCTAAGTCCTCCGCTACCAGTCACACCCCTCCCATACCCCCCCCTACCTGGATAATTTTGGCGAAGTCCTCCACTACTAGTCACACCCCTCTCATAACCCCCGCAGCTCAGACACATTCCTTCCTCGCATACCCAACCCAACCCAACCCAACCTAGCTGTGATCAGTGCTATTTGACCAGCCCCTTTTGTCAGTCACGGCAGTTCTCTGGTGGGTAAGAGGGTATCCAAAGTGGGATGTCGACAATTGTCATCGACATCCGCCGACATTCGAGGTAGTTTCAGTACAATTTAATAAAGTTTTAGAAGGGTACTGAAGGTTTCTAGATCGGTGTCTCGACATTCGGGATGTTGATGGGTGTCGTCAGACGTTGCTGAGCACTTTGGACACCCCCTAAACGCCGGGCGGCGCATAAAACACCGCCGCTGTCGCCAACATATTGGTGCAGCAATTGTGCCAGCCAATCACTAGCGTGTTACTGTATTTATACAGAGCGGAAAGTCCCAAACAAATCGAGCAACATCAGCTGTAATGAAGAATGTTATGTCAGCCAGGTTTGGCTGTTTGCTGATGTTTCCCGTCCGAAATGTCTGCTAGCGTAAGCTGCGCAGCTGACAGAGGCGCTTCGGATCAGGGCTTGTGATGATTCTTTTCAGAGAACCTGACGGATCCTAGTTTCCAATCGAAACTTGACTTCTAGGCAGATTTCGACAAAGAATCTCGATAACTTGCAGATTGAGTAGAGGTTACCTGGATAAACGCGTTATGGTGCAAAAACCATGGGGCATATATTATGCGACTGTCATGGTTTCTATTTGAACAGGTGTCAAAATCCCTGACAAATCAGAGTTCGAGGCCTAGGGCACTCTGAAAAACAGAGTTAGGCCAGGAGTCACTCGTGAAAATCAGAGTAGTGAAAAAACAAAGATAAGCCTATTAAATTATGTATTTTGTTATATAATTGGTAGGCTTGGTAGGTGTTACTGAAACCTACTGTAGAGGGTACAACCCTCCTCCTTGGATGCCTCTCTCTTCTATTCTCGACACCTTTTCTCTCATCAACTTTCATAGCCTAAAACCTCTCGCCATTTCTATGGCTTCCCTCCTACCTAGATCATAGCTTACTTTAACATGGTATCAGAGCAGGTTCCCCTTCCCGGGCCTGCTCCCCACGCTTCCGCCGCGCACTCCTACTCTCCTTCTCGCGCTGTCATGGCGGCCGCGTCGTGCTGTTGTGGCGGCGCCGTCGTACTGCTGGCCGCGTCGTGCCGCGGCCGTCTTGACACGCTGCCATGGCGTCGCGCCATCGTGGCGACGACGTCCAGCCATGGCGGTGTCATCGACGTCAAGCCGTGGCGGCGTGACGGCGCCGTTGACCTGCAATCGCCGTGTCGACGTACCGCCGTGGCATTGACGCCGCACTGTGGTGGCGTCGTAAGGATGCCGTGACGGCGTCGTCAGGCTGCAGCCGGCCGCGCAACGCCTGTGGCGCCGCTAGACCTGCCGCCCGCAAGCTAGCCATGGGCATGATTCTGGACCACGCCCCACCCCCCCCCCACCCCCTCCTTCCCCTGCGTCCCCTCTTCCTTGCCACAGCCGTCGACTGCCTCGTGAGGGCCTTCCCAGAATCGTTATGAGATTGGCCATGCCGCCGAGAGGGCGGGGGCCGCTGCAGCCACCTCTGACATTGATTGAAGCCGCCGCCGCCGCCGCTGTTGCCGCAGGCCAGTTGCCGCCGCACACCGCCGCCGTCGCTCTCGTCACTACTGTGCCTGCTGCCATTGCCATCTCCCGGGCCATGGATATTCCGGAGTCATCGCGCCTGTTGCTGGAAATGGGTGTGCTAGGTTAGGGGGTGTGGGAATGTGTGGGATCTTAAACTACCAAGCCTAAGGGGTGTGTTAAGTTATATATTTTGTTATATAATTTGTAGGCTTGGTAGGTGTTACTGAAACCTACTGTAGAGGGTACAACCCCCCTCCTTGTATGCCTCTCTCTTCTATTCTCGACACCTTTTCTCTCATCAACTTTCCTAGCCTAAAACCTCTCGCCATTTCTATGGCTTCTCTCCTACTTAGATCCTAGCTTACTTTAATAAAGCCCTGGTTCTCGCGCCAAACCAGCCCCCGCCGACCTCGACGGCCCCAACCTCATCCTGAGTCGCCCCGAACCCATTTTGACCTCGTCACCCTCGGGACTAACGAGCCCTTGACTGGTCCAACCCTCGACATTCAGCCTGGTCAACTCGGCCTATGTATTGCCTAGGCCTCATTATTCAGTAGAACATTGTAGTTACGCTCCCCTAAAGTATCTTGCGCTATACTCTGAGTTGTAATTCATAACAGGTATGACAGCCTTAGCAAAATTTCTCATCTGAAACGGATCTCTGTAGGTTGCATGAGGATCTTGATTGGTCCTTCGACAAAATCACAACCCGATATGTGCTTGAGGTGTGTGAGTGGCACCAACATGGACTTCACCAAAATTTTCGCCTCATGTAGAAATTCAGGGCCAATTAGCGCCCTCAAAACCCGATGCATGCTGCAGTCTGTGTGAGGGCACTAGTTGACCCTTAGCTAATTCGTGTGGGGGGGGGGGGGGAGATCGCCTCGCCTGAGGGGGGCTCGCTCTGGCTGAACCTCGCCAACCAATGTGCGTGAACGGAACTTGCGAGGGCCTTGCCTCCCGCCCGCCCCCTTAAATTTCAATCCCCCCCCCACCTCCCCCCCCTCCATACAGGGTTCTCGCTAGGGTCCTCCCCTTTTCCCGCTCCCGCAGGCCTGATTCATCGCGTTAGCAGTCATCCCACCAATCAGAACCTCTCGTAACATTGAACCCCCAAACCATTTTTCGTGCACGCCCAAGTTGCCCAAGGACCTCGGGCACTAGGAAACGTACTCAAATATTGGAACGTGGAGGCTATTATGGCCCTTGTCGGTTAGCCTAGGAATTGAAATTAGGAACTTCTGAAATTTTAGTAACTGCACTACGATTCGTCTGCTTCTTTAGAAACTGAAAAATTGGCCGTCTGATCATCAGACGGGTCCAGTCCGGAGGGCCTGTCTGATGGCCTAGAAAGTGCCTTGAGCCTAGCGAGAGCTCTGGCGACGAGCCCGGAGGGTTAGGTTGGGTACAGGCGTGGTCAAAAGGGCCGGAGGCAGCCCCAGCCAGCCTCGGGGTTGCGTTGGAATCGGACCGAGCCTGCCTGGTCTTCTGAGAATCCGGGTGTACGCAACTGCAGCCCGGTAAGGAAAAAAATTCCTTACACTACCCCCTTGTGGACTTCCCACATGTTTTGCGATCTGAAATTGCAAGCCCTTGGTTACACTCGATGCTCAACCAACCGCCCATACCGAGCCCCTCAGACTATATTCAGTCCCTCTGGATAGGTTAAAGACCAGGTCCCAAGTTACAAGCCGCAAAAAGAGAGCGCGGCTTGGGTTGGGGCTAGTGGCTTGCGATTGGCTGCGGGAATGGCGAGAGCTCAAAGTCTGGAAATCGGTTTGCGAAACTCGCAAATGCAAATTTGAAGTTCGCTAACCGAAACTCCAAGGAGGTTGGGGAAGGAAAACAAGTGAAGCACAACAGATGGTCGACAGCAACACAGCAGCACACGAACTAAGCTAATGCGTCACAGCATCAACCAGCCACAACACAGCGGCAAACACGCAGAAGGCATTTCCGCAGCCCATACGCATGTAATATCGAAACTTCTGGTAGCGTGGTGTTCTTTTTTTGCCAGAAAATCACAGTAGGCTCGCACCCAGTCCATTTCTCCGTGGATCTCAATAAATTATCGCGCGCAGGCCTTCTATCGGTGGATATCTTTCGCGCAAGTCTAATATCGGTGGATCGCAAAATGGCTTGCCATTCGAGTTAAGCATACGCGTTCACCTAGGCGTAGCGGGGATATGTGAGAGCAAACGTAAAGTCGGCTAGCAATGGCGCTGAAAATAGAGCGGGAGGCAGCGCTACTCCAGTAGGCCATTTTACCAATAGAAACGACCGTCCAGAGGCATATCCGCGACGCATCCACGACCGACGGCGCAGGGCGAGAGAGAGGGGGATGCAGAGCGAGTGAGAGGGGGATGCAGAGCGAGTGAGAGGGGGATGCAGAGCGAATGAGAGGGGGATGCGGAGCGTGTGAGAGGGGGATGCGGGGTGAGTGAGAGGGGGATGCGGAGCGAATGAGAGGGGGATGCGGAGCGTGTGAGAGGGATGCAGGGCGAGTGAGAGGGGGATGCGGGGCAAGTGAGAGGGGGATGCGGAGTGTGTGAGAGGGGGATGCAGAGCGAGTGAGAGGGATGCAGAGCGAATGAGGGGGATGGAGAGCGAGTGAGAGGGGGATGCAGAGCGAGTGAGAGGGGGATGGAGAGTGAGTGGGAGGGGGAGCAGAGCAGTGCTTGCTGAGCTTACTCCGAGAGAGAGAGAGAGAGAGAGAGAGAGAGAGAGAGAGAGAGAGAGAGAGAGAGAGAGAGAGAGAGAGAGAGAGAGAGAGCGAGAGAGAGAGAGAGAGAGAGAGAGAGAGAGAGAGAGAGAGAGAGAGAGAGAGAGAGAGAGAGAGAGAGAGAGAGAGAGAGAGAGAGAGAGAGAGAGAGAGAGAGAGGGAATGAAGCGAGAGAGAGTAAGGGAGGCATATAAAGAGAGCCAGAGAGAGGAAGAGGGTGCGGCTATGGAGAGGGTTGGGACAGAGTCGGGTGGAGAGAGCGGGTGGAGAGAGCGGACAAGGGTGCGGATGTGAGAGGGCATGGGGTCCCAGGCAGAGAGGTCAAGCAACCAGGATGAGGGCAGAGGGAGAGGTCACATGGAGGGGATATAGAATGGGTGGTAGTAATATGTATCTAGGTGTCCAGTTCTTCCTCCCTGTGTGCTTTCCCCCTGCATTCTTCCTCCCAGTGTGCTTTCCCCCTGCATTCTTCCTCCATGTGTGCTTTCCCCCTGCATCCTTCCTCCCAGTGTGCTTTCCCCCTGCATTCTTCCTCCCAGTGTGCTTTCCCCCTGCATTCTTCCTCCCAGTGTGCTTTCCCCCTGCATTCTTCTTCCCAGTGTGCTTTCCCCCTGCATTCTTCCTCCCAGTGTGCTTTCCCCCTGCATTCTTCCTCCCAGTGTGCTTTCCCCCTGCATTCTTTCTCCCAGTGTGCTTTCCCCCTGCATTCTTCCTCCCAGTATGCTTTCCCCCTGCATTCTTCCTCCCAGTGTGCTTTCCCCCTGCATTCTTCCTCCTAGTGTGCTTTCCCCCTGCATTCTTCCTCCCAGTGTGCTTTCCCCCTGCATTCTTCCTCCCAGTGTGCTTTCCCCCTGCATTCTTCCTCCCAGTGTGCTTTCCCCCTGCATTCTTCCTCCCAGTATGCTTTCCCCTTGCATTCTTCCTCCCAGGGTGCTTTTCCCCCTGCATTCTTCCTCCCAGTGTGCTTTCCGCCTGCATTCTTCCTCCCAGTGTGCTTTCCGCCTGCATTCGTCCCACCTATCTGTTGTGCTATATGCCTTGCACTCACAATGCTCTCCCTCGTCTGTTTTACCTTTCCATCTCCCTTTCCCCCATCCAGCCCCATGTCTCAAGAGGAGAAGAGTGGCAGTGGTAGCAGTGCACATAAGCAGGCACCAGAGAGGGGTCAATAGTGTTGACAGGGGTCTACACTTCTGTATCCATGATGTGTAGTGTAGGACAACGTGTCACACAAGGCCAACATTTGTTGAGGTGCATAGCATGTTGGAAGGATAATTTCACAACATAACCTAATGTGGGTCATTAGTCTTACATAGTGTGACACAGGCACATCATCATGCATGAACAAAAGGTGGTCAGCTTCGCATGACAACCCGAAACCACCAAGCATGAAGCGTGGTTCGAGGGCCGTTGTCTAATGGTGAGGAGTCAGACGGCCATGATGGATGCAGCTGGAATGGCACTGCGAGTTGGGGCAGAGGGAAGCAAGGGATGAGGGAAGGGGAGGGAGGGAGCAGGGAGGGAGGGAGCAGGGAGGGAGGGAGCAGGGAGGGAGGGAGCAAGGAGGGAGGGAGCAGGGATAGAGGGAGCAGGGAGGGAGGGAGCAGGGAGGGAGGGAGCAGGGAGGGAGGGAACAGGGAGGGAGGGAGCAGGGAGGGAGGGAGCAGGGAGGGAGGGAGCAGGGAGGGAGGGAGCAGGGAGGGAGGGAGCAGGGAGGGAGGGAGCAGGGAGGGAGGGAGCACAGGATGAGAAACATGGGAAGGTCATTCAGGGAAAAGACAGGGTACATGCATGCACCTATTCATGCCCACACATACGAAAGCTTACCCATATCCAGGCCCACACAAACCCTTCCAATGCAAAACCCGAGCAGGGAAGAGCGGAGCGGGCAGTCGGGAAGCAACAGGGAAGCACAGTGTGGGAGAGGCAAGCCAGTAGCGGGCCGCAGCGGGGAGCGGGAAAGCGGGAAGCTAGAAGTGGGCAGCAGGACTCGGCGGGAGGCGGGAAGCGGGCAGTTGCAACCTGCCTCCTTACCTTCCTGCCCTCCTTACCTTCCGCCCTCCCTACACTCCTGCTCTCATGCCTCACTCCCTCCCTGCTCTCATGCCTCACTCACTCACTCCTGCTCTCATGCCTCACTCCCTCCCTGCTCTCATGCACCCCCTCCCTCCCTGCTCTCATGCTCCCCCTCCCTCCCTGCTCTCATGCTCCCCCTCCCTCCCTGCTCTCATGCTCCCCCTCCCTCTCTGCTCTCATGCTCCCCCTCTCGCATCCACATGCTCTCCTCCCCTCGCTCTCCTCTCCCCTGCTCTCACCCCTCTCTCCCATCCCTTCTCTCCTGGTCCGCCTCTCTCCCTCCCCTGCAACTTTCCTCACTCCCCTGCTCTACCGCCTCTCCCCATCCCCTGCTCACACTCCCTCTCTCCTTCCCCTGCCCTCTCCAAAGTTCACTCCTCTCCCCTTCCCTTGCGCTCACTCTTCTCCCTTCCCCTGCTCTCACACCTACCCCCCTCTCCTGCTCTCACTCCTCTCCAACTGCCCCTGCCCTCACTCTTCTTCCCCTCGCCTGCTCTCACTTCCTCCCTCCCTCGCTGCTTTCACTCCTATCTCCCTCTCCTGCTCGCATTCCTCTCCCTCTACCCTGCTCTCTCTCCTCTCCCCTTACTCCACTCTCACCCCTCTCCCCTTCCCTCGCTCTCCCGCCTCTCCCCCTCGCCTGCTCTCACTCGTCTCTCTCACCCCTGCCCTTGCTCTCACCCCTCTCCCCTTTCCCCTTCCGCTGCCCCTGCTCTCCCTCCCGCGCTCACGCTGCTCCGTCCCGCGCGATCAAGCCGCTCTCCCTCCCGCGCTCACGCTGCTCCCTCCCGCGCGATCACGCCACTCTCCCTCCCGCGCGATCACGCCGCTCTTCCCGCGCGCTCACGCCACTCTCCCTCCCGCGCGCTCACGCCCTCTCCCTCCCGCGCGCTCACACGCTCTCCCTCCCGCGCGCTCACTCCGCTCTCCCTCCCGCGCGCTCACTCCGCTCTCCCTCCGGCGCTCACTCCGCTCTCCCTCCCGTGAGCTCACTCCGCTCTCCTTCCCGCGCTCCGCGCTCCGCCTCCAGCGCGCTCACTCCGCTCTCCCTCCCGCGCGCTCACTCGGCTCTCCCTCCCCTGCCCTCGCTGCTTCCTCCCTGCTTTCGCCTCAGCCACTCTGTGCTATTGCGTCACTTGGTAGGTTCTGTCGCGTCTCTCCGTCCCTGCTATCGCGTCTCTCCGTCCCTGCTATCGCGTCTCTCCGTCCCTGCTATCGCGTCTCTCCGTCCCTGCTGTCACGTCTCTCTATCCCTGCTGTCGCGTCTCTCCGTCCCTGCTGTCACGTCTCTCCGTCCCTGCTGTCGCGTCTCTCCGTCCCTGCTGTCGCGTCTCTCCGTCCCTGCTGTCGCGTCTCTCCATCCCTGCTGTCACGTCTCTCCGTCCCTGCTGTCGCGTCTCTCCGTCCCTACTGTCGCGTCTCTCCGTCCCTACTATCACGTCTCTCCGTCCCTGCTGTCACGTCTCTCCGTCCCTGCTATCGCGTCTCTCTGTCCCTGCTGTCACGTCTCTCCGTCCCTGCTGCCGCGTCTCTCCGTCCCTGCTGTCGCGTCTCTCCGTCCCTGCTCCCACGCCACTTCGTCCCTCAGGATGAATTATGCGCGGTTCGCAATGCCTAGCCGGTCGTCGCGGGATCTGAGTCATTATCACTATCACTCCTTATGGCACGTTGTTTCGTCTAAGGCTAGGCTACGCGCGCGAGAAACCTCGTATGCTGGCTAGTTTCTAGTCACTAGTCAGTCTCGCCTGGGTCCCAATTTACAAAAATTGATAGCAACTTTCCCTTAGCCGTTTGAGCTGAGAGAGAGCCAGGGGTTGGGCTGCTTGGGCGAAGGTGTTTGCTTGCCTTTCGACCAATCACGAGCCCCCATTTACAACCACCGCGTCATTGCTCAGTTTCATCCGGGTGCATGGGGTTACCAACCTTTTTGCGCCGCGATATTGCTAGCAAAAAAACTCGTGCCTTGCAACTTGGGATCTGGGCTTTAACGACCCGAGGTACCATTCTCACTCCGAACAATCAAGATTGAAAAGCATGGTCGTTGCTGCAGTTCTCTAACAATAACAGTCAGACTGGGCGTTTCTATAATCCATTACAGCAATTTTCTTTTCATTCTACAGCTTCCTCTTCAACCTCTTCCTGCCACCATGGCTCACCAGTGTCAACAGTCTCTGATGATGACTGCAGCTGCTCCTGCTGCTGCCACGGCTCTCTTTCTTCTAGGGCTGCCATTCCAGAGGCCGTGGGGGAACAGGGCTCGGATGAGAGATGCTGACCGTGCCATGCCTTGATTTGATGGCTTGCCATGCCCCCATGGCACCGGCCTTGCTGCTGCCATCCTGGGGACAGTCACCTTTGAAGCCAGCACTACCATTCGTTGCTTGTTGGCTGCCCACCTTGCTCTCAACACTGCCACCACCGCCGCTCCAAGTGGTGCTTGTGCCACTGCTGCTGCCATTGCCACTCCGGCTGCTGCGGAAACTGGCAGCGGAGATGAGAGAACAAGACTGCACGCTGCTGCTGCTGCTCGTTGTTGCAACTCTGGTGTTGGTGTTGCTGCTGGTGGCAGCAGCAGGTGTAGGATTGTTACCAGCTGGCCAGACACGACGCGGAGAAGGGTAGCGAGGGAAGCGAAACGCAGAGAAGGATGACTGAGAGGGCAGCAGTCGCCCAATAGGCAATGGCGATGGTGCATTACTATCCACATCGGTAAACTTGGAGGTCTGAGCCTTTTCCTGGGGAGTGGCAGACTCAACAGCTAGGGTCGCCCCCCTGCCCCTATCCCCGCCACCTCCCCCTCCTCCTCGTTGCTTCCACGGACTCATCACTCCTCGCCACCTTCTTCCCTCAGTCGCCATCATCCCAATGCCTCTTCCCTGCATCCCGTCCTTCTCCTGATCTGCTGTCGGATGCCTCGGCAGCTGCTGCTCCACCGGGCAGCCCACAAGCGATCTCGGGCTCGTCTCATCATGAGCTCCTCTCTCTTCCTCGTCGTCCTTCGGCTTCAGCTGAATGTCAGGGATGGCAAAGAGAGGGAACCTGTGCACCCCATTACCACACGACCCCACTGCTGTCACTTTTGCTGCTGCTGGCACATCACGTGCTGGGCTGGACAGCCTTCTCGATGCCATACAGTCAGCAAGGTTGTGTGAGTGAGCTGAGAGCTTGGGAGATGGCGAGGGATGGGAGGAGGAGCAGGTGGAGGAGGAGGGGAGAGGCGACAAGGGGGGTGAAGGAACAGAGATGGCAGAGAGGGAGGGGGCGAGATGGGCAAGGGAGGAGGAGGCGGAGCCAGAGGAGTCAGCAGAACACGTGCGGGAGAAGAGGAGGGCGTTAGTTACTCCACTTCTCGCACCACAACCAGCAGCACCACCAGGTGCATGGGAGCCAACGGAAGAGCTGCTGCTGACCAATCCAGCACTGCCATGCGTAGTGCCAGAGTCCCTAGCTGCAGCAGCTTCAGCAGCAGAAGGAGAATGCACATGCAGTACGAGTGCCCTCCTGCCATGGTGATCAGAGTGGAGGGAAGAGCGCAGAGTTCGCAAAAGTGAAGAGGCTCTCTGCAGCCACTACTTCCTCTCCACCACCTTCCCCGAACTCCTCTCCTCTCTCTCTTCCACCTCCACAATCCCACTCCCTCCTCCGTCTCCAACTCTCTCCTCGTCATGCCCCTCTCCTGTCCCACTCTCGTCCTCTGCCAGTCTGCTGTTGGCCTGTGCCTTCAACTCTTGCCCTGCCACTAACGATGTATGAACTCTTTCCTCCTCAGATGCTGCCGCTTCTGTGTGGGCAGCAACAAGAGCGTTCTTTGAATCCTGCTCTGGCTGCTGCGGCAGCTCTGGTTCTCTCCTCCTCTCTCGCCCCTGCTGCTCCTCCTCCCGGAACCCAACTCCCTTACTGCCTTCCTCACCCTCACTGGCCCTCTTTTCTACCTCTCTCCTCTGTTTGCTCCTCTCTGTCTTCTCCTCTGTCACCATGACAGCCACCTCCTTTCCTCCCCCTCTCTCCCTTTCCAGCTCCAGCTCCTTCTGCCTCAGCCTCTCTCGCTCCACTGCCAGTTCCCTCTCTCTCTCCCTCAGCCTCGCCCTCAGCCTCTCAACCTCCTCTGCAATCCGCTGCTGCCTCCATGTCTCCTTCTCTGTGCCCCCTTCCTTCTCACCCTTCGCCACAATCTCTGTCGTAATGCTCCCTTTGTTTCTCATCACCGTTTTTTGCTCCTCTTTAACCTCCTCTTCTTCCTCTTCCTCTTCCACATCCCCCTCCACCTCTTCTTCCTCCTCTTCCACCTCCTCTTCCTCCACTTCCTCCTCCTTCACCTCGTCTGCCCCCTCGTCCTCTTCTTCCTCCTCTACTTCATCCCCTTCCTCCTCTTCCTCGTTTCCTTCCTCTTCCTCCTCTTCCTCCTCTTCCTCCTCTTCCTCCTCTTCCTCCTCTTCCTCCTCTTCCTCCTCTTCCTCCTCTTCCTCCCTTTCCTCCTCGTCTTCTTCCTCCACTACTACTTCCTCTTCCTTCTCTTCCTCCTCCTCGTCCTCTTCCTCCACTACTTCCTCCTCTTCCTCCTCTTCCTCCTCTTCCCCCTCCTCCTCCACATCCTCCTCTTCTTCCTCTTCCTCCTCTTCCTCCTCTCCCTCCTCTCCCTGCTCTTCCTCCTCCCCCTCCTCTCCCTCCTCTCCCTCACCCCCCTCCTCTCCCTCCTCTCCCTCCTCTCCCTCCACTCCCTCCTCTTCCTCCCCTTCAGCCTCCTCCTCCTCCTCATAATATTCGTCCTCCTCTTCCTTCCCTTGCTCCTCAGTCTTCTCAAACTCCATCTCTTCATCTGCTGCCTCCTCTCCATCTTCATCTTCATCTGCCTCATCATGAACCATCCTCCTCTCTCCACCTCTCTCATCACCGTCTCTCACCACCTCCATATCCCCTTCCTTATCTCCTCCTCTGCTGTCCACCTTCTCCTCTATCCTCTCTGTCTCTCACATCAAACCCGATTCTACCTGCGTCAATTCATCCCCCCTTCCTCCGTTCCTCTCTGCAGCATCCTCTTGCCAACCCTTGCTACCCCCCACGGTCAAGCACTTACATCTCTCCGCCTCACCATCCCACTTCTCCTCCTTTCCCGCATCTCCAAGCATCGTCTTTGATGATGCCCCCACCTGCGTGAGGCCCGGCACTGCTTGAATCACCCTCAGAGCGTCGGGCCCTGCTGCTGCCTTCCCTTCTTCCTCATCTCCCCTCCCCACCTCTGAACCTGCCCACCCACCAGCACTAACAACACTCTGACCCCTCGCAGTAGTGACAAGTGCGCTACTGCTGCTGCTGCTGCTGAAGGGAACCATAGTCATGCAGCCATGACAGCAAGCCACTACCACTTCCCTCTATTTTCCCACTTCCCCTCCATTCTCATCAAATCCAGCATGTGCAACAGAATCTGCAGCCCCTGTCCTTCCCCCGGCACCTGAAACTGCTCTTCCTTCTGAGTCTGGCGGATCCAAGGGTTTGGTACTAGTAGGACCCCAGCACTCTCCTCCAACTCCCCCAAAATCACTCGTATCAGGAAGACCAGGTAACAACCCCCCACCACCTCTCCCTACCCCCCTCATAACCACCCCTCTTCCCCTCCAAAGTCCCCCTCCCTCCCCTCTCCCCTCTCCTCCCCACCCCCCCCATGCCTCGCCTCCCCTATCCGCCAAGCGCGGGTTAACAGCAGCCCTCAGCCGCATGACCTCCTGCACCCACTGCTGCCGCTCCTCCATCTCTATCCCTCGATCGTGCCCCCTCCGCTGCCGCTCCACCCGCACCTGCTGCCTCAGACCTGCACTCGCATGCTGCTCTGCCAGGGTTGACTCTGATAGCTGGTGGGGTTGTATGGGACGGCAGGGGCGGGGAATGGGGGAAATATGGGGGGGAAACAGGGTGGTGACTGAAGTGGTGGAGAGTGCACATGGGCTAGACATGGAAGAGAAGGGATGGGCCGGAGGGACCATGGGACGTCACTGTGGCCGACGACACCGCAGATACGGGCTTGTATCGGAGCTAGGTAAGGCGGCTGCCACAGAAGCGCCTACGTGCAGAGGGCTACAAAAAGTTGGTGTTCCCTGCGTCCTAGCGCTTGGCTGATGAACGCACGGACCTTTAGTGTGGGTGTGAGAGGGAGAAAGGAGAAACGGGAGAGACAGGGGAGGGGAAAGGGAAGGAGGGCGAACTGGGTATCTTGGTGCCGCTCACCTGTCGCCTGAGGGTGGTCACCTCTCGCTCTGCATGTCTCGCCTTCACCTCCCATGCCTCCTGCCCCATGCTCGCACTCTCAAGAGACTCTGCCAGCTGGCAGCCTGGGAAGGGGCGGGGTAGTGAAGGTGGGAGTGGAGAGAGGAAGGGAGATACGGGAAGAAAGGGGGATAAAGAGAGCGAGAACGAAAGACAGAAGGGAGCGGGCGAGGGGGTTGAGGAGAGCTGTCTGCCCAATTCTATTTGAAGGACTTACAAGGGAGAAATATGGGAACGAATGCAAGCCATGTGTTGATGTTGGGCCATGAGCCATGCTACAACACCTCAAGCCTCAGGCCTCACCTCTGCCATGCACGCTGTGGCATCACTTGAGCTCATGCCTGCTGCCGACCCTGCTGCTACTGATGATGGCTTCACTGCTGCAGCTGCTGCTGCCACTGCTTCTTCTGCTGTTGATGCAGCTGCATCTGCTTCTGCCGCTGCTGCTGCCTCTGTGATTTCTGGTGGTATCGCAGGCTCAACCGGTAGTGATGTAGCCTCTGGTGGTGCAGGTGGAGGCGGCAGCAGCGTCAATGGAGCTGCCTCTTGTGCTGCTACAGCAACATTCTGAATGTTTCTAACATCACCACCACCACCATCGTTGGCAGCAGCGGTGAATGCAACTGTTTAGCTACTGTGGTCATTGCAACCTGTATTGTCACTCAGCTCCCTGCCTCCCATTGCATCATGACACTGCGCAGCCAATGTCGTGCTCCAGCTCGTGCCATGCCTAGCATCCACACCTTTGTAAGCCAAGCACCCGAACGGCCATTGCTGTCTCATCTCGTCCCCTACTACCTCTCGACCACGCTCCTCCTCCCAGGCCTTAGCCCTCCCTCCCTCCTCCTTTCCTCCATCCTCAGAATTCTCCTCCCTCTCCTCCTCCCCCTGTTCCTCCTCCTCTCATTCCTCCACCTTCCGCCCCTCCTCTTCCCCGTCTTCCTCCCTCTCAGTCTCCTTCCCCCCGACTTCCTGCGTCATCTGCTGCCGTGGAGCCACCTCCCTCAATCCCTCCTCCACACGCTCCTCCCGCCTCCTCTTCCTCCCTCCCGCGCCCTCCCCCTCTCCTCCCACGCCCCCCCGCCCTTGATCACGGGTAACCACAGACTGTGCTTCAAAGTGCGGGGAAGGCTGCGGAACAAGGTGCAGGTTAAGCTGTGGGAGGGAGGGAAGGGGGGAAAGAGGGGGGAGGGGGGAAAGAGGGGGGAGGGGGGAAGGGTGAGAAAGAAAGGCATAGTTGAGTTAGCCCTTAAGTGAATGTGTATCGTTTTCCTCACCTCAATTGATGACGTCACACTTGACATCCCGTGGCTCCCAGCTTCCCACTCCTCCCCGGCGCTTCCCCTCACACCCCTCCCGCCATCCGCAGACTCCCGCACATTCCCCGCTCCCCTGAACCAACCCCCAATCCCCCATTCGGCGCTTGCCCCCAACCCTCTCTCTGGTTCCCCCGCCAGTCCCCCCGCCTTCCCCCCTCCCTCTCTGCCATCTTCAGCGCCGCTTGCACCATCTTTTGCGGAGCTTGTTCCGCCTCCGTTCGGCAGTCGAAGCCCCCCCGCAAGCAACTCCCTGTCCTCAATCGCACCCATCTCCCCACCACTATTTCCCCCGGCAGCGCCGCTGGTACTACCACATCAGAAGCACTAGCTCCAGCGCCAGCGCCAGCAGCAGCACCACCACCACCACTACGATCATCATGTGCAGCGGCGATAAAGTCGCTCAAGCGTTCCCCGTCGGCATCGAAGCCGCACGCATCGACGGAAAGCGGGCGCGGAGGCGGACAGCCGCGGACAGGGCGGAGAGGGAGTCTACAAGGGTGGCGGACGGGAAGGGGGAGGCGTCTTCAGGGAGCATGGGGGTCGCGGGGAAGCATGGGAAGGCGAAAGGCATGGTAGTCATAGTGTTGGTACTGGGTGCTACTTCTACTAGTAGAGTTTCTTTAGCAACATGATCTGCATCGCCCGCGCACCCCAACAGATGGCGACGGTATGCTCCCTCTCCCCTCTCTTGCCTCTCCCAGTTTCCCTCCTTCCTGTCTGCCCTTGCAGCCCGTCTTGCTCTTACCCCAACCCGAGTTCCCTCCCTTCCTCCCTCCCTCCCTTCCTCCCTCCCTCCCTTCCTCCCTCCCTCCCTTCCTCCATTCCTCCCTGCCTGTCTGCCTGCCTCCCTCCCTCCCTCCCTGCCTCCCTTCCTCCTTTCCTCCCGTCCTCCCTCCCTCCCTCCCTCCCTCCCATCCTCCCTGCCTCCCTCCCTCCATGCTTTCCCCCCTCCCTCCCTTCCTCCCTCCCTCCCTCCCTCCCTTCCTCCCTTCCTCCCTGCTTCCCTCCCTCCCTTCCTCCCTCCCTCCCCCCTCCCTGCCTCCCTCCCTACCTGCTCCCCTCCCTCCCTGCCTCCCTCCCTCCCTTCCTCCCTTCCTCCCTGCCTCCCTCCCTCCTGGCTCCCCTACCTCCCTGCCTCCCTCCCTCCCTGCTCCCCTCCCTCCCTGACTCCCTCCCTCCTTCCCTCCCTTCCTCCCTGCCTCCCTCCCTCCCTCCCTGCCTCCCTCCCGCCCTGCTTCCCTCCCTCCCTCTTTCCCTCCTTCCCTGCCTCACTCCCAGCCTCCCTTCCTCCATGCTTCCCCCCCTCCCTGCCTCCCTCCCTCCCTGCACCCCTCCCTCCCTGACTCCCTCCCTCCCTTCCTCTCTTCCTCCCTGCCTCCCTCCCTCCCTCCCTGCCTCGCTCCCTCCCTGCCTCCATCCCTACCTCCCTCCCTTCCTCCCTTCCTCCCTGCTTCCCTCCCTCCCTTCCTCCCTCCGTCCCTCCCTCCCTCCCTGCTTCCCTCCCTCCATGCTTCCCCCCATCCCTGCCTCCCTCCCTACCTGCTCCCCTCCCTCCCTGCCTCCCTCCCTCCCTTCCTCCCTTCCTCCCTGCCTCCCTCCCTCCCTGCTCCCCTACCTCCCTGCCTCCCTCCCTCTTTGCTCCCCTCCCTCCCTGACTCCCTCCCTCCCTACCTCCCTCCCTCCTTCCCTGCCTCACTCCCAGCCTCCCTCCCTCCATGCTTCCCCCCCTACCTGCCTCCCTCCTTCCCTGCTCCCCTCCCTCCCTACCTCCCTCCCTCCCTGCTCCCCACCCTCCCTGCCTCCCTCCCTCCCTGCTCCCCTCCCTCCCTGACTCCCTCCCTCCCTTCCTCTCTTCCTCCCTGCCTCCCTCCCTCCCTTCCTCCATTCCTCCCTGCCTGCCTGCCTACCTCTCTCCCTCCCTCCCTGCCTCCCTTCCTCCCTTCCTCCCGTCCTCCCTCCCTCCCTCCCTCCTTTCCTCCCTGCCTCCCTTCCTCTCTGCTCCCCTCCCTCCCTGCCTCCCTCCCTCCCTGCCTCCGCTTCGTTCTCCTCATTCAAGCTATCACCCTTCTCACTTTTATCCCAAACTAAAAAATCTCTATGGTTCATGCCAAATCTTCACCAAGGCCACAACTCTCACCTCCACAAAGTGTTGACTGTTCGCAGTCTCAAGTGTTGCTGGATCGTCTCCGCCATATATGCATCTCATCTCTACCAGAGTTTGCTGCTGCTTCGCCGACGTTCTCTCCGGTACCTGGGCTTCCATATCGGAGAGCTGTGTTCGATGTACCATGCATCGGGGGCACAGAAATCTGGTTGAATGCCCAGACTTCGTGCCGGCTACTTTACACTGCTCCGGATAATCGCCAACATATGCAAACAAGAGGGGAAATGCCATGCGTCGAATGCCAAACGGATCAAGGAGTGGCTCGCCTTTGCTTGCAGCTGCCTTTGCGTCGTCGAAGATGATTTCTAGAGCCTTTTGAAATATCTCTACTCGTCGTCGCGCGATGTTACTATTCCGGCGAAGCATTTTCTCTGTAACCTTAGGCAACAAAGCAACTAGCTGCCTCCTATGCGATTTCCAACGATTTCCTGAGGAAACATTGGCTAGCGACACGTACATCGGCCAGCCCGTCACTGACCCATCTCTCATAAGGTTGGTCTCATCGGAATACACAGTCAGTGCCACTACGGATGCTCCCTTCGGTAGCCTCTTTTGTGCAAACCACCACCATTCCCCACTATCGGGATCTCGGTATACTCTCTTGTCTTTCGGAGGTAACTCGAGAGGGTGTGCCATTAATCCTTCTGCATTCGCTGGATTGCTATAGAGGTTCTTCGCACAAGACCACAAAGAGCGCCACCGCAACATGATAGGCCCTCTATCGTTTGGTGAGGCGATATTTTCCTCTTTGAATTCGTCCATCACTGCCCCTCCGCTTACTTTCTCCTCGAACAGATCTACATCTGCTACAGAACTGAAAGTGCATGGATCCAATTGGGCGCAGGCAAGGATGTCGACGAGTTCTGCGATCTCAGGGCGTGACAACCCTATGCCTCCCCCTACTTTGTTGCAAAAAATGAACATGCGCTTATCTGTGGACATCCGCTTCGGATTTTCTTTCGGAGGTAGCTTGTACCCAATGGAATCGTGGCTTGAACCGACATCTCCAGATTCGAAGGGAAGATCTGGTGTGGACTCAGGGACGCTAGTCTCACCCACTCTACGCTTGGTGCCTCGAGTTGTTGACCCCCTTTCTATTACTCCTTCCAAAGCTGCCAAATCCGAGAAGCTAGGCAGCTGGTGCGCTGTAGGGTGATGCGCTGGAGTATGCACATAACGTCGCCGATGAAGTAATCTATCATTAGGATTGCTGAACCTCTCTGTACATCCAGGTTCGCCACAAGCTATCGGCAGCTTCTTGTTTCCATCCATTCCCAGGCCTATGACTACAAAGGAAGAAAAACTAACGACTACAACGAAAAGAAAAAAAAAATACAACGAAAAGAGCCTCAAAAGTGAAAACACCTAAACTCCTTAAAGCCCAGATCCCAAGTTGCAAGGCGCGAGTTTTTTTGCTAGCAATATCGCGGCGCAAAAGGTTGGTAACCCCATGCACCTGGATGAAACTGAACAATGACGTGGTGGCTGTAAAAGGGGGCTTGTGATTGGTCGAAAGGCAAGCAAACACCATCGCCCAAGCAGCCCAGCCCCTGGCACTCTCTCTCAGCTCAAACGGCCAAGGGAAAGTTGCTATCAAATTTTGTAAATTGAGACCCAGGCGAGACCTAGTGACTAGAAACTAGCCAGCATACGAGGTTTCTCGCGCGCGTAGTCAAGCCTAGACGAAACTGCGCGCCATAAGGATTGATAGCGATAATGCCGCAGATCCCGCGATGACCGCCTAAGCAGTGCGAACCGCGCATAATTCATCCCGAGGGACGAAGTGACGTGGGAGAACGGTATGGAGAGACGCGACAGTAGGGACGGGGAGACGCAATAGCAGGGACGGAGAGATGCGACAGCAGGGACGGAGTGCCACGACAGAACCTACCAAGTGACACTATAGCACACAGTGGCTGAGGTGAAAGCATATCGCAAAAATGTGGAATGGCCGAAACCAGTGGGGACGGGGTCAGAGGCATGTGGGGCGGGGTAGAAGTGGGAATGAATGTCGATGCATGAGGAGGGAATGAATCAGACTATTTGCAGCGGAACGTCGCCGTGCATGCTGAGTTGCGGGCCTTGAAGGTCTGGGTTGGTGTACAGCTACAGCGGCTACTGTTCCTTCTGTCGTGAAGTTCAGGACTTCAGCACACACGGCCGCTTTTCCGTCATGAACGTTCGGGGCTTTGCTCCAGCTCGCTGTGCTATGGGTGGGTTCGTTAAATGATGTTGTTTTGTTATTTGTAGCTGTTACATATCTGTGCAACATTGTCCTTATGATCTCAACTTCGCAAGCGCTTCCAGTGTTGCACTGTACAAGAGTAATTATACAAACGTATGTCATATTATTTTACTCCGTAACATGTGTGTGTGAACATTTCTCCGGATCCATCAGCCGGTTTTGTTTGTGATGCGTATGAATGACGTGTTTTTGTCGATTTGTTGTAAGATACTTATAGTTGGACTTTAATACTGTTTGAATTTTCCATCACACTCCCTTTTGTTGTGTTTTTGCGGTTTCCTTCAACTTGGTCTATTAACTATAGTTAGTTCAATTGTACATGAGTACTCCTTAAGGAGAGACGGTTTCCTAACGCGAGTCACGACTGCCTTGACTCGTTTGCCCGTTTATTATAGCATCCGTTGCGGAGGGTTTAGCTTGCCTATGCAAAATATTTGCGAGCCGCATGTCTGCACTGCTTTTTTCTCCGCGCTGCACGGCATGTGCGCTTCGGTAATTTCCTGAGTGCCGAATCCCCCGCCTTTGCGAGCGAATTTTTGCTACTGACGAATTTCGCCCACCCAGCGTTCCTTCCCATCGCCAAGGCCTCGCAATTTTCGCCACCTCTTCTAGCTCATATCCTCTCACCCACCTTCGCTGGTTTCTGTTTCGCATTCTGCTCCACAGCACCAATTCCCATGCCTGCTCATTGTACTTCGATTCTAACTTGGATTCAGCTGTAAGGCCTGCTCTCTTGCGGGTTTCGTTTCTGCTCTCTCTGCCAGTACTGCCCTAATAGTCGGCCGTGGCCCACCCCTTGCTGGCTTAGACTGCGTGCGGGATTCTGCCGCGTATCACCGTGGTGCTCCTCTCGACGACTCTTAAGGTGAGCCTCCTACTCTCTAGGTAGCTTGCTCTCTTGTTGCAGCGTAGTCGCACCCCTCCTTACCCCACTCAGGCTGCTCCTGCTGCCTGTCTTTTTTTGCATGATCGATTCGTTATTTGGTGACATCCCCGTGCCTCATCTCAAGCCATCGCCGCACCGCTGCCCTCCCTCTCACTGCTCCCCACGCCTCATCTCTCGCCATCGCCGCACCTCTGCCCTCTCTCTCACTGCTCCCCGCGCCTCATATCAAGCCGTCACCGCACCGCTGCTCTCCCTCTCCATGCTCCCCACGCCTCATCTCTCGCCGTCGCCGCACCTCTGCCCTCTCTCTCACTGCTCCCCGCGCCTCATATCAAGCCGTCACCGCACCACTGCTCTCCCTCTCACTGCTCCCCACGCCTCATCTCTCGCCGTCGCCGCACCTGTGCCCTCTCTCTCACTGCTCCCTGCGCCACATATCAAGCTGTCACCGAATCCACTGCCCTTCCTCTCACTGCTCCCCGTGCTTCATCTCACGCCGTCGCCGCACCGCTGCCCTCCCTCTCACTGCTCCCCGCGCTTCATCTCACGCCATCGCCGCTCCGCTGCCCTCTCTCTCACTGCTCCCTGCGCCACATATCAAGCTGTCACCGAAACCACTGCCCTTCCTGTCACTGCTCCCCGCGCTTCATCTCAAGCCGTCACCGCACCGCTGCCCTCCCTCTCACTGCTCCCCATGCCTCATCTCTCGCCGTCGCCGCACCTCTGCCCTCTCTCTCACTGCTCCCCGCGCCTCATATCAAGCCGTCACCGCACCGCTGCTCTCCCTCTCACTGCTCCCCACGCCTCATCTCTCGCCGTCGCCGCACCTCTGCCCTCTCTCTCACTGCTCCCCGTGCCTCATATCAAGCCGTCACCGCACCGCTGCTCTCCCTCTCACTGCTCCCCACGCCTCATCTCTCGCCATCGCCGCACCTGTGCCCTCTCTCTCACTGCTCCCTGCGCCACATATCAAGCCGTCACCGAAACCACTGCCCTCCCTCTCACTGCTCCCCGCACTTCATCTCACGCCGTCGCCGCACCACTGCCCTCCCTCTCACTTTCTGTTCTAATGCCCTCCCTCTCACTTTCTGTTCTAATGCCCTCCCTCTCATTTTCTGTTCTAATGCCCTCCCTCTCACTTTCTGTTTGAATGCCCTCCCTCTCACTGCTCCCCCGCGTCTGCCCTCCCTCTCTACTCCTCTCCCTCTTCTCTGCCCTCCCTCTCTACTTCTCTTTCTGTTCTAATGCCCTCCCTCTCTACTTCTCTCCCTCTTCTCTGCCCTCCCTCTCTACTCCTCTCCCTCTTCTCTGCCTTCCCTCTCTACTCCTCTCCCTCTTCTCTGCCCTCCCTCTCTACTTCTCTTTCTGTTCTAATGCCCTCCCTCTGTAATTCTCTCCCTCTTCTCTGCCCTCCCTCTCTACTGCTCTCCCTCTTTTCTGCCCTCCCTCTCTACTTCTCTTTCTGTTCTAATGCCCTCCCTCTCTACTCCTCTCCCTCTTCTCTGCCCTCCCTCTCTACTCATCTCCCTCTTCTCTGCTCTCCCTCTGTACTTCTCTTTCTGTTCTAATGCCCTCCCTCTCTACTTCTCTCCCTCTTCTCTGCCCTCCCTCTCTACTCCTCTCCCTCTTCTCTGCCCTCCCTCTCTACTCCTCTCCCTCTTCTGTGCCCTCGCTCTCTACTCCTCTCCCTCATTTGCATCCCAATCCAGATGTCTTAAAGATGTGGAACGTGTTGTAACTCGTGGTTCGATACAACACAGGGGCTAGCCTCATACGTGCGCAGTAGAAAATGTGTACGGCAGGCCGCACACATCCAGGGGGCTGCGGGCCCTTGCAGCCAATTCCTTCTACCGCGGTCACAAGTCTCGGTTATGCCGCCACCAGAGTACAACCTCCCGGATTCTGAAGAGCATCTCCCATATGCTAGGCATGATCTCCAGGATGGCATAGTGCCACCTGATTTTGACCCAGGTTTTGACGGTGACAATGCATCTAGCTCGGATAGCGAGGACGATGAAGAATTTGCACCATGTGATGTACCTGTTGCTAATGATTATACTGAAGGGGAGGGGGAGATGGTGGGGAATGATGATGGGGTTGGGGGCATGCCTGCTTCTGTGGATGAGGACATCCCTTTCAACTTCAGGGATGCGTTGGCTCACTGGCTGTTGACAGGAAACCTGTCACATAGCCAGATAGCCACTCTCCTAGCAAGATAGCCACTCTCCTAGCAATCCTTGGGCATGCATCTTCCAAACTGTCTGACGTAACGGAGTGGAAGAGCATTCGTGATGTGGAAAATTACGCTGACTCGAGGGACCCTGACTCATCGAGAAACTGGAAAATGGCCAGGGTGAG